GGGGTCTCGTCATCTGGATACGTTTGACATCAAGACACACAATGTAGATTTTAAGGGAGATGGTAAACTTTTTTCGAGTCCTTTCAGTAACATAAATAACATACACTAATGACTGTCAATGAAGTGACTGAATGATGGCATTGAGTAATTCACAAGAAATGTAGATACATATTTTCCCCACATGCTTAAAAAGGAAGGAACAAATAGATATTACCTGTTTTCTGTGACTCTATCTTATTGTCTTTCTATACAAGTGGGTCCAATTTCCAGTGTACAAGCTACCATCTGTATATACCAGTGTGTGTATGAGAATGTATCAGTGCAATGGAATTATATTATTCGAATGTATTTGTAATGACTTGACCTGCTGGCGAATGGCTTCATGCGTGTCTAGTAACCCATATATAGGGTGACTGACGTCATGCATGCCTCATTCATTTTGCAGAGAAAAGTGCAACATGAACATCTAAAATCCAGAATGAATCTATGTTTTGTTGTCTGTGTGCAAGTCCTCCCTTGCTGCACAATGATGGTGTTGAGATCTACACCTAAATTCTCGGTAATGAAATAAAATTAGGGTGCTATGTCTGTTTTAGCTATTTTAAAATGATTCATTTATACAAGTTCCTTAATCCACATGGTGTTGCTTTTATGTTTTATTGTGCAGAACACATCTGAAACATATCAGGTGTCAGATCTTCGCCGCAAGAAAACTCTACCACTGACAATGATAACATCAAAGCTTCAAAGTCCTGCAGTCGTATCCATTTCTGTACAACCACATATTTAATAGATGTTTAGATATGTTCTACTGTAGACTACATTTCTCCACACTTTGGCTGATGCCCATAGGTCATCTGGCTGAGCCCTTCAGACGTAATGTGATTCCATTAGTATGGCAGTAATAAAGGCTTTTAATGATGAGATGCATTTCATGTTGCATTTTGTTCTGGCATCAGTGGGTGTCTTTATCTGTGTACTTAGTGTAATTCCTTATATGTCATTAGTAAAATATGTTTTTTTTCCCTAAGGCAATTCAAAAACTTGTATCTAATTGTCATGTATGAATTTACAACCATAACACTATGTATTTTGGGGAGAACGTGCAAATAAATTAAGCACAAAAAGAACCCGGGCTGAGATTTGACCTTAATACTTTTATGCACTATTTGTGACTGAACTGTTACAAAAACGTGTACAAAAAAGATTGTTATAGTGTACTTTTTTCCTGTTGTAAAATGATTTTTATGTTATCTTGTGTTGTTACCAGTTTGTTGAATACTGCTTAAAAGAGCCCGTATTATAGGTCTTCCCTTTGTCATACCTAATGGTTTACTAGTGACTGAAACTTCTATACTCTTTATATTAATTTGGCACTTAAAGATTGTTGGAGAGAAATTATTCACTTTACTCTCCTGATGATGCAGCTTGCATTATTCATAAAAACAGCCAGCTTTAAGAGAAATATTTTTAAAAAGCAGTTTGAATTGCAGCAGTAGCAGATAGGGCAATATTGCAATGTTCTTGGCTAAGGACATTGGTGCTGCATCCCTTGGTGCACCCCAGATTGCAGTGATGTTGCAATTCTGTCAGTGTAGTAGTTTAATACCATTAGCCAAACCTATCAAAGAAAAAGCTGTCTGCTTGTTCAACAACTTTACCTAAAAGTAAATCACAATTGTTATACAGTACAGTGCACAACATTCACTCATAAGACATCACTTTGGATTCTGGAAAATGATGATGAGCCTTTGTCACATTATTTTATAGACTGATACATCAAAACATAATAATTGTTCGCTGCACCTCTGGTTTTTATAGCACATCTCAGGCTTCATGCTTGCTAGACATTTCATGTATGTGCTTGACAATTAATCTGATTGTGTGTGACCAGCAGATGTCACCATCAACACACTTTGAACTGGTTGCTGCCATCCTGGATCCTGTACTGCCATGCACCTTCAGTTCAGTAAGTTTAACACAACCACAGTGGTGCAGTGAAGATTAAATATATATAATAATTAAGCCAGGCTCATTTTCTTTGCATGTATCTACACAACTACTGTAAGGTCAATGTGATGTGACAGTGTCTTTTCATGCATACATATAAAAAAAAGGATGAATTCAAATTAAATGGTATGGTCATAGTCTGAATATCTGTTGCTTAATGCTTTTTTCCTCATGTATATACAGTGCACAGTTGTCGTTATATGGTTAATATAGAATCTGATTCAATACTTATTCAATAACTCCCACCTTCATGAGTTAAGTTAAAATGTGAAAATGTCTTTGAGAGGTTTTCACACAACTTTTTTTTCATTTTGGAGTCTGTAGTTGTGTTGCTTTATACTGAGAGGTCTTTCTAATATTTTGTCAACCCCATCCATGTCAACGAGGATTACATCCTCTATTAAAAAGGATTAGACAATCTCACTACATATTTAAAATATACAGTATAATCTGTATTCAGCAATCATTGTGCTTATTGTCATTCTATTTGTAAAATTTGCTGACATCTAATTTTAACCAGTATCTTGTATTTTCAGCACTTTACACACTTCCCGGCAAAATGAAATTTCTAAGTGAACTCAAGTGAAGATAAAATGGGGATTTGTTCAATGTCATCAAAGCTGATAAATACCATTACAAAAGGAAAATAAAAAATATTCCCAAATTGTTCTGTAAATCTCAAGAGTAAGGCATCAGATTATTTTTTAATGGATGTGTAACGGTTCCCATTACCTCCCATTTGTTTAGAAAATGTACTGAAAATATTAATACAAATGTGCTCTTCAGGTCAATAGCATCGGGGCTTGTATGGCCTGTAGATGGGCTGGATGTGACAGGAATGACACTGCTGGGGCAGTTTTCTTCAATAGGAGAGGTGGACTTGTGACCCAGGCAGGCTTGGATGATAGCCTCGCTGGAAAAGGCTGACGCAGGGAGTCCATTATTGCCCCTGGAGGAAGCTGAGGATTAGAACACCAAAGAATTTCAATAAAAGAAGTGTCTGTTTGGGGGTCGGGGAGGGGCAGAAGGATGGTGGTGGAGGTGGGGTGGGGGGGTGTTCCCCTCATTGTCCCAACAGTGATTGAGAGCAAGAGAAGGGGAGTGGGACGGCATTGTGTTTGCAGCTCCTCTGAAGAAGGTGGTTATTAGGGGGGATGGCTAAGGAGGGGTGAGGGATGGGGAGGCTGTTGACTCTTCATCTTGTGTGAACAAAGTCTCTGGCACATAGCCCTCTTCTGTCCTTCTGTCCTGGACTCCCTTGTTTACGAGTGCCATGAATTCTGTTCCTCTCGGCGGGGACCCCCACCAACTCCAACCTGCACCGCCGCACATTGTGGGGCTTAAGTGCCCTTTAATTAGGCGGCCTCAGTGTCCGGCTGAAGACCGCTGAGGGTTTAGGCTCTTCCCTGTGGGACCTTACTGAGCGGCTCGCACACACCAATAGAGGTTCCCTCACACAGCCGATGGATGAAGTGTTTGCTGCTCTAATGAAAAAGGTTTATTTGGGGGAAGAGCTCTTGCAGTCTTTGTCCCCTGTCTTAAAAAGTCCTGACAAAGGCGCTGATATTATCTTTAACACTCTCCCATTTCCAGGACACATTAGCGAGGACTCTGAGGTGAGGCAGTGGCCTCCAAGAACAAAGAGGCACAGGACTTCCAAAATTCTAAAAAATCATGACAGTAAACACGATGTACTTCCTGTACAGACAGAACTCACTGCACACTGGGACTTTATTATTACTATGTGGTATTAATTAATCATGCAATTACTTCACATGGAGGCTAAGGAGAATCTGGTTCATGCTCTTGAAATCTGAATGGGAAATTTCCTTTTTGCACGTCATGTAGAGGAGCGTGAATTCATGCAAAAATATGCGAAGGAGCGTGAATTCACAGAAATTCATCCATCATTCACATACACAGCCAAACACATGCACAGCTTTGTCATTGTGATTGAGCACATTTCATTATCATAACAGCAAACAGCACAGGATCCGGAGTATAAAGGGGGAGATGGGCAAGAGGCATTGGGAATTTGCTGAACTGCTCCGGCAAAATGAGTAATTTCTGGATGCCCCATTGTGTGAAGAGCTTACAGGGTGAGGGATCTGAAAGGAAGAGGCAAAGGAAGGATATAAACATGGGAGCAAGCGAAATAAAGTGAAAGATGGAAGGAATGAGAGACAGAGAAGAATGATGAAAAGAAGTTTGTGAAGGGAGCAGGGCGGGATTGGGCGTGTTCAGAAACTTTTTCGCTACAGCCCAGTGTGTGTAGATACCCTCCTAATCCTGGTTTTATTGGCTGCCTGTGTCCAGCCATGCTGGTCGGATTGAGTAGGGAGGGTAGAGAGGTGGGGGGGCCGAACACATGTCCTTCTTTGTGGTAATACGCTGATTAGGCCTGAGAAAGAGCCGGACCTGGTTACGGCCTTTCTCAGGTCACCGTAGAAACCAGCCCGGTAGGGGACCTCTGTGTGTGCCTCCCCCTCCTGTGCACCTACTGATGCAGACACGTAAACCAAGGCCTTCCTTTGCAGAGGTTTTCTACAAAACACCACCACTCAAAAGTGTTGTTGAGTCATAGTTCATTTCAAGATCAGGCTCCAATGTTCTTGACCTTAATCACTGCTGCCTTTCCAGACAGTTCGCGTTGCACTTGTGGCCTCAACCTGGGAAACGTGGTTTCAATGTTGTTCAGATGCAGACCGCAGACTGATTCCTTTGCCTGCACTCATAAATTAGATCACTGTCACATTCCCCCCATCCATCCCTGGCCCTACACACCGTCTATCGCTCCTAGAGAGCAACTGTCATCCAAATCCCAGAGCTGAGCTAGGCACATTTCTGGCGATGCCGTAACACACAACAATGTTCGTGATCGAAAACAGACCTGCCTCATTGTCAGCACCGCTATGACATACCGCATCTTGACTTGAGGCATTGAAAAGTCATCTTTATTGGTAGAATATAGTAGACTCCCCACCACGACTGGCTGGAGAGCAGGCCTCATACAAGTTTCACAAAGATATCTATCAATTATTGTCACATTTAGAGACTCGGAGGGACCCCCCTCCCCTCCTCTCAAGCAGGGCGGTAGGTCGAGTGCTGCTCAGTCACTGCCTGTTTCCCAATCTTCTTTGTTATGGAGGAATAAAACAGAAGGGGTGGTTGAAGGGGGGCACTCCACTGCTGACCTCCAGACTGTGGTCACTGAGCTCTCTCTCTGCGGTGGGCACTCAGCCTCCTCTTTGCAGAGTGCACGCTCCCAGCCCCTGCTGAGCGACCTTCCAGCCCCCTAAGTCCACCGAGCTCGCTCATGCCCTGGAGGTCCTCAGCAGAAAGACCGAGGCCCCCCCTGGCAACACACATCAGAGGGAGAGACAACTTAGATATTTTCCTGCTATAAAATCCTGCTAGCACATTTAAAATCACTTAAGAATAACTTAACTTAAGTATCTGTGCTAGAGCCACATGTCTATGACAAACTTTGTATTTAAAGTCAGTAAAGTGTGACATTTGAGTAATCTATAATCTATAAAATGGCACACGTGTCAAATGTATATTTCTGTAACTGTGCATGGGCGACATTTCATCTTTAAAGTCCACTAAACTTATTTTCATTCATTTGTATTTGTTGCTGCAATATTAAATCAGGTTGAAATCAATAAAACATCTCTTACGGTGTCATTGAACCTATTATGACCTTTCTTACTTGGAAACAGATCTCCCAAAGGCTGGTTTCCATATGGCTCCACACACTCAATCTGTTGTGAAATCTATCATGTAATCCATCTGGTCTAATGAATATATTTTTAATAAGTGTTAAAATGTTTAATTTATAATACTGTTTTGTCACAAATTCTTTATCAAAAACATCGCAGCTTCTGCAGCATTTGGATATCCACTCGATTAATTGTGCAGCCCTAAATTATATGTTCAAGAAAAGCCTTCAAATCTATTTCACTAGTTCACCTAGGAAGGATCCTTTTTGTGCTTATTTACACTTAAGTGTGAGTATTTTGACTATTAATTGTGTCAAAAAAGAGTGAAATTCAACTACAAAAAAACCACAATTTTAACACAGACTTCTCTGATAACATGTTAGCACTGACAGCATTAGTCTTTAAAGGGCAATGGGGCACACATTTAGCAGAAAACTGGTCAGTAGAAAGCCTCACATTTCATAAAAAGTTATGTTCTGTAAAGTCAAAGATGATATTTATACTGATGAACCCTTTCATTAGTGCTTTCTGCAGCGGTCAAGTCTTTGGTGGCCATTGTTTCCACGATGACCGACATAATAATCCTTTGAGACAAAACCCTTAACCAGATTGTCATCACTACAACTCAGTTTGTTTGATCTCTGCCGGGTATCTTGTTTGCATTTGTCCTGATCAGTTTCCTTGTGTGTGAATCAAATGCGTGCTTACTTCAGGCTAAGTCCATCACAAGTGTCCCACCCTCCTCCTTCACTCTCTATCTATCTCTCTCTCTCTCTCTCTCTCTCTCCTCTCCCTCCTCCCCCTGTCCCACGGCTGCTCGCCCCACAGCCCATCAGAATGACAATAGTATTGATGTAAAATGTGTCGCCTTTGGGCCGCTGAAGCATATAACCCCTGCATGCCTGGCCCAGCCACCACCACAGTTTATGGCTTTATTGTGTCCCCTTTTATGTCCTCCCCTGTTGGGGTGGGAGGACAACAATTTAGAAAATTCACTGTATATGTCTTTGTGAGTGGGACAGAGATTATGCGTGTGTTGACGTGTGTGTTTGTGTGTGTGTGTGTGTGTGTGTGTGTGTGTGTGTGCACTGTATGCACGTATATCCGGATCAATTAGTCAGGGCACAACCCCTAAAAATCAGTGTGTCAACATGTACGTCAGCGTCTGTGAACCCTAAGACTTCTGCGCAGGAGCTGGCCTACATCCCTTCACCTACCTCTAGCCACTTTGGGGAATCATTTTTTTCTCAATGATCACAGATGAAACAAGTTGAGTAACAACTCTACTCTACCTTTTTCATGTGTCCCTCCCTATACCTCCCTCTCTCATTTCCCTCCCTCCCTCTTTTCACTCTTTCCTTTCTTTTCCACATTACCAGGGGGTGGCGTGTGATTGACAGATGGGAACGAATAATAATTTTTTTTTCGTAACCTAAGGCCATCTTCTGTGATTGGCTTGCCAGCTGACATCTCCAAACCTCATTCCCCCCGCCTCTACCCCCCCCCCTTTAATATTGGGCCTGTGGATGAGGCATCCTGAGGGAGAAAAAAGTAGAGAGAGAGAGAAAAAGATATCTACCTTAGGGAAGAACCTCAGAGAGAGGGAGGGAAGGAGAGGACGGGTAGGAGCGTGTGTGCATGTGTGTAAGAGACACTTATTCTCTTAACTACTAGGAGACAGACACACTTTCCTGGCCTGACTCAAAGAAGGGGGGAAAACAGGAGGAAGATTTTTTTTTTCAATATCATTTTAATCTTCCCCTCATTCAACAATCAAGCTGCCCTAAAGCTTCTCTTCCTGGAAACTCTTCTTCATTGCCTGCTGGAAGTTCTATGTATTGATCCATTTACCCTCTCACACACTACAAGGCTTACCTCATGGATTTGTATCTGATTGGATATTTGATGTGTGTGTGGTTGTCCAGCTCACGGGTGCTTGGAGGCTATCCCATCTGGTGGTGAGTACAAATCCACAGTTTCAGCATCAGACCCTATAGCCGCATAAAGAGAGAGAGTCTTTTTGGTCAAATGATCATTTTCTGAGAGGGCAGAATGTGCACTTTCAGTTGACTGCGTGGAAAAATGTTCTCCGGCCCAGTCCAAAGAATCTTAACCTCAAATACTAGTGTAACGGAAAAGGCTCGCCGTTCTTTTCCCTTCTACACTCAGGTCCATTTATCATATTGGAGTATGTTGTGATGCTAAGAGGATGAATTTTTTAGTTTGGGAACCATTAAATGAAAAAAATACATAGCGAGTGGTTGCCATGTTGATATGAATTGTCAACAGCTCTCTAAGGACTTTTCCACACAACAGTGTAAGTCAGTAAGATCATTCATTATTACATAAATTGTAGATATCGCTCAAGGACAATGACAACACTGATGTTGCTCATGAAAACTCAACAAAGCCTCAGAAAAGGCTCCTGTTTCTAAACCATAATCAGTTTCTTTGCTTGAAATACAACCATATAATTTTAGGAGTGCCCTAGGAAGTACAACAATCATGACTTACAAGATCAGCGTCATTTTGTTTTGTTTCCTATTGTGTGTCACTGTTCTACATTCAGGCCGCCGGCCCCCCAAACATGCCGTGAATTGAATCTGAATTGTTTTGGGCTTTTTTTTTGGTAGATGTATGACATGCACAGAACATACAATCTCAGCTACTGACAAAGTTGTACATAATTCTTAAAAATATTACAAATTTGTGGTCTGCAATAGGCCATCAGCTGTAATTAAATGAATCTTTTTTTTTTTTTTTTGGTAAAACAGTTAAGCATATCATTTTGCTTTTCAATTGCACCACAATTCACCCCCTCCACTACGGATTTGTCAGGAGACAATGTGTTTAGGTGCCGCAGGGTTTTATTCTTTGTTAAATTATCCCAGATCGCTTTTGGCACCAGCAACTGAAATTTAGAGGTTTATCTCATTACAAATTCAGCTACATGCAGCTGACCTCATGGCTCCTGGTCTTCTTTTGTAACATAAAGCTTCTATTTTGGAGATATTTGCGTAGGCGTATGACAAAGCTCTTTTGGCTCACAACACAATACTTGTCAGAGCTACTGCACTTTTAGTAGCCCAACTAGCATGTGGTCCCACCATAGTGCTGTCCAAACCGCGAGCATCTTCTGGTTTCATTTACAGAGCAGGCAGCTGCCAAGCACACAGGCCACAGGGCTGAAGTGTTAATGGCAAAGAGGACTTTACACCCACTCCTGGCTTCAGCAAGAATCATCAGACAACAGTGACAAAGAGCCTGGCTTTCTCTCTCTGTGAATTACCTGCAGCTGTTCTGTTCAAGGAGCTTACATGACACTGGTATAATGTTCGAACCTTAACAATGCGCACCACCTTTGATTTGGGTAACAAATTTTGAAGTGTAGGCTGGGTGAGGGGTTACTGGGAAGGTGGAAAGATGAAAAGCCGAGCCGTAGCTCCAGGTGACTGGGCAGGTGCTGAGGAATGGGTGTCAAACAGCGCTGTCAGTGGCATCACCCCGCGGTGTCGAACATTTCCAAAAGGAGACAAAATGAGGTGGTGCGTCAAACAAGAGGGTGCTGAGTTTCAGCAAGGGCCCAGGCAGGCTCCTCTCAGCTTCTGTCTCAGGGCCGAAGACTTGGCCATAAATTCTCCAGCCAAAGTGGGACGTGTTGTAGGGAAGAGGAGTTTTGACTGCTTTATGCCTGGCAGCCTTGCTTTTACAAGACGGGGTGTTGAAAACAAAACAGAGCATAAATAACTCTGGTGATATGTACATATGCATGGATGAAGATGAGGTGTAGAAGAAAGAAAAGGCATAGCAAACTAATGAGGTGGGTTTGGAAAGGCGAGACAGAGCAGTAAATTGCCTTCTTGAAATGCAAGAATGTTTGGGAAACAGTAGTTTTGTACAAAACATGCAAAAACAAGGTTTGAGAGAATTCATGACAGCTTAAAGCTATGTTGTGACCCCACATAATCCACAGGTCCTACAGTGTCTCTGTCCAATTATCTGACAACGCCATGCTTTCTGTGTGGTTTGAAAAATGAAAAAATAACTGTTCTTGGATTTATTGCTGTTTTTTGGTTTTACCTTTTAACCTACGTAACTTAATAATCAATAATAATAAACTTAATAATATAACAACTTGAAGGGCTATGAGAGAATATTCTGCTCTTATTAAACACCAAGGTTGTTAATAAGAGTCACCGCTATATTGTATTAAGCCGTGTGGCTTAACTCATCATCTATTTTCAGAAGAGCTTAAGCCACCCTGTCAGCCAGAAAGTGTGTTTGCGTTCCTTGCGTAAACAGCGGCGGTTGTAAGAGAATGATGACAGTCACTTTCAGCAAGGAATTACCTCAGCTGAATGTATGCCAATACCAGCTATCGAGCATCAGCAGTGATTACCGGTTTAACTCCGTCATATCACACTGCACAGCCACGAGATGTTTAAATCCAATAACTGTTATTCTCTTAATCCTCTGTTATCATCACTGCTGTTAAATCGGCATGACACGTTGTACACTTGATGTGAATTTCCTCGGCGCTCATTGTAATTTCAAGTGGGGCCATCTCATAGGGATTCCGGATCATTGTGGATATTTTTTAAGTGTTTAAATTGCTTGAGACTTATACTATTGTGGTTATGAGAATCGAACAGAGAGCAATTGGTAGGGAGAGAGGAAACTAAGAGAAAGAGTGAGAGTTAACTGCTGCAGACAACGAATCTGTTTCAGCATACATTTTAATGAGCAATTAGTACAAGTTAAAATTAGTTAACTTCCTCTCAGGTGAAAGATTGTTGCAATGTCTTATATTCAGTCACTGCAACAAACAGGTTATAATAGTTAAACAACTCTGTATCATCAGAGCAAAAATAAGATCCCATTTGTTAACGGTTCACATATTATTCTATGATTAAGATCTTTGCCTTTTTAAAGCTGTCAGTGAGTCAACATTCTTTAATTATACTTTGGAGCGCATACGGCTTCCTGACTAAAATTGCGTTTGCTGTTTGAAGCACTACTTGTGGAAGTTTTGGGAACCGCTGGGGCCTCAGTAATGTCAGTGGCATACCTCTCCAAAGATCTCACGCAAAGCTATCTAGGTTTACCAAACCGGCCAGGCTATACACAGACTTTTCCAGTTCAACCTGAGCGGCTTAAATGGGGCTCTAGAGTCCATCTCTGGGTCTCAGGAATGTCATTATCTGACTGTGACACCCCCCACCTCCAATCTTCAATCCAATCTTCAACCCCAAAACCCCTACCGTTGGCAAAGGGATCACTTAAATGATTCTTGCTGCGGTAAAATCCTCCTGTCTGCCGTCTTGTGTGAAAAGATCAAGGATGTTTGGGTATTATTCTCAACAGTGCAGTGGAAGGTAGAGAAAAGAGCAGGAAAGTCTAGAAGAATGTCATTCATAAGAAACTTTGGGGTTCCATTATGAATGGCTGAGGGCTGCCATAGGGCCAGGGTCAAAGGCAATTTTGGGCTAAAGCCCTAGAGAGTGAGTGATATCCACAGGGATACAGGATATGGAAGGAACAAATTCTTTAAAAACATGTATGACTATGTAACGTATGGATATATGGTCTAAAATGATCAAGACCATAGCCCTAAGCAGGTGTATTGCCACTGCTGAGGTCAAAATGAGGCAATATTGCTCAAGGAGTCGATTAAAACACTTTGATTTGAACATCTTGTGACATTTTAGTGCTTTTTTATTCAATTAAAAAATGTTGTTTATCACAATTACCCAAAAAAATGCACTGGTCTCTAACTGGACTTTTACTGACTGTCAGTGAGGGTAGCCTTCATGCACTGATCCAACACATTTCTTCACGCAACATTATAAGACTGTTTTCAGTGAACACTCTGGCCTGTGGGATGACATTATCCAGTCAAACCCAAGCTAGGTGAGAGGTTCAAAGGAGAGTGGTATTTCAAAGCAGCGAAGGCGAGTCCTAATCTTCACCCACCATCAAAGGACATGCAATGTGCTCTTGTAGGAAATGACAAAGTCCCCCAGTGCACAGCTATTAGCTGCACTAAAACACAGGCCAGGACAGTTCCTCAAAGGGAAAACGGCCACGGCCGGGGGCAAGGGAATCATTAAGGGACACGTGTGGAGGCACAAACACAATATTTAAAGTCTTCATTACATGGTTGATCTCACCTGTATGGCTTGTTACAGAGGTTAATTATTAGCAGAAAACAATTTCTCTGACACACGGGGTCAGTGACAGAGATGTACTGTTCACACCTGTACACCCTATATTCAGTCAAAGCCCTCAGGTCACTGACCAGGTCAACCAAACAACCAACAGATGCAGTGTGCAAAAGAAGAGAGGAATGTCATTCAGTATATCTAAATTACAAAGGATCCAGTTAACACAGTGGTGCTGTCAATAATTTCCGGTAGAAGACACTAGAGATATGATAGCAGAGTTTGGGTACTGACATTAAAATTATACTGTTTTTTGCTTAAAATTGAGAAATATAGACATGTTTTTGTACAAAACTTATTTTTTATCCAACAAAAGAAGCAGTTAAACAACACCTTTTTAATAATATAAAAATAATTTGATCTTATCAAAGAATATGTGAACAAGACTGCTATACTGTCCAGACGTTTGATGCCAGTTTTTGCTGCATTTGGTACCTTTCAGCCTGCACCGAAAAAGTACGACACCCACAAAAGGTACAAAGGTAAAAGAGAGAGGTAAAAACATGCATGACAGTGTGTTTCATAAAGATAGGGACCTGCAGATCAGTGGAAAAGTGTGGGCTGTAGGAGGTACTGCCTGAGAGTGAAATATCTATGCACTCACAAGCTTTGTTAACCAGGTTTATCCCCCACGATGTAGTTTCACATTCCAGTTTTTTCAAATCAACCAAGCATGAGAAAGTCAACAGCAATTAAGGCTTTAATTACTTTTAAAGACACTGTGTGGTGTTTGAAAC